AAATTGCATCACAGACATACAGACAAAAATCTCACTAGTGAAGAGTTTCTGGTGGCCCAATACCCTGCAGGGAGAGCAGGATGAATCCCCAAGAATAAGGAATCTTTTTTTTTTTTTTTTTTAAATATATTTTGTTGATTTTCCACAGAGAGGAAAGGAGAGGGATAGAGAGCTAGAAACATCAATGGGAGAGAATCATCGACCAGCTGCCTCCTGCACACCCCCTGCCGGGGATGTGCCTGCAACTCAGGTACATGCCCTTGGCTGGAATCGAACCTGGGACCCTTCAGTCCGCAGGCTGACGCTCTATCCACTGAGCCAACCTGGTTTCGGCAAGAATAAGGATTCTTGGCAGCTGCTGGGACATACTGCAATCTCTATCACAGGTTCAAGCCCACCACACACAACTTGGCTCCCCCAAGGTGGGATTATCCCCATCTTTAAACAAACTAAACAAAAAACAGACATAAAACATCAACACACACTCTCATACGGGTGCACACAACACTAAAAGTTCACACCAAGAGCAATGTCTTTGTTCCTGGTTCGGGAACTTGCCTTCTCCCAATGGACTATTCAGGGGAATGTATTTCCTAGGCCTAGAATTTCTGTTTCCCAGCCTCGTCACGTCCCCTGTGACTATGTACGCAACCCCCATGTTGGAGGTGTCTTGTGCTCCCCGAGATCTGCTTCATCCTTCTGTCTGCTTCCCTCCCAAGAGAATGGAACCACAGATCAGAACCCCGCACTTGCTTTATGTCCAAGGCACAACCCAGCCTGACCTCCAAGGACACCCAATCACCAAAGTAGTACTCAGTCCAATCCCATGTTGGCTCATGATTGCCGCGGGTCTTGCTTGGGCCCTTCCTGCATGGCTGGCTGACTCATAGTCGGCCCAGGAGTAATGGCTGTCCCTCCTCACCAAGGCTGCTGCAACTTGGAGTGGAGCGAACCTCTCAGCAGAGGGGTCCAATTTCCCTGTGGTGGAGCCTCCACATCGTTAGAAATTAGGTGAGCCCCTGCAAATTAGGGGTGCTGGTAGAACACAAAACATACTCAGGAGCCAGGCAGCAAGGCAAACATCTTCTGCACAGAAGGGTGTGCACATGGTCTGGAAGCGCACACACCAAGCAGGCGTTCTGCTCGGGATTTATAACCCCTGGCGCACGTGTCCTGTCCCTCGCTCTTGATTGGAGCTCAGGTGCACAGTCTGTCGTTATTGGCTTGGCTTTTGCTCTTTCAAGATGGCAGTCTTCAGGGGATTTGCAAGCCATGCGGCCAACATGGCAGCTGCCAAGTCATGCAGTCCAAAATGGCGGCTGTCTAAACTGTTCTTTGACAGAAAAGATGATTTGTTTGTTCTCACATCGGTGCGGAGGGCATGCTGGCGGCAGCCAGGCTTGGGGTCAGGCAGACGCCCAGCAGTAGGGCACTAGCAGGACCGGGTGAGGCTGGTTCCGGGAGGGCGTTGCTGTGGCCATGCTCATGTTGGACAATGTAGCATCGGTCCGAGGATCACAGCCCTTTCACCCACTGGGACACTCATGGTCTCATCTCGCTGGGAAGACGGGGTCTCCAGGTTGTTAGGACATGTGGGACGGATTCTGTGTGGGGTCCTGGTCCAGGGTCCCAGGCGCTATGCTTTGTGCCTGTGGAGCCCTGGAGCAGGCCCTCAGCCACCATAGACTCTGCTCTTTGAGCACCCACCCACCCTCCCTGCCTGCTCTGGCAGGTGCACTGGGGCTCTTAGGACTCTGGGTGCTCTGGGTGCTCTGGGTGCCCTGGGTGCTCTGAGGGCTCTGGGTGCTCTGGGTGCTCTGGGTGCTCTGAGGGCTCTGGGTGCTCTGGGTGCTCTGGGGGCTCTGGGTGCTCTGGGTGCTCTGGGTGCTCTGGGTGCTCTGAGGGCTCTGGGTGCTCTGGGTGCTCTGGCAGGTGCACTGGGGCTCTTAGGACTCTGGGGGCTCTGGGTGCTCTGGGGGCTCTGGGTGCTCTGGGTGCTCTGAGGGCTCTGGGTGCTCTTAGGGCTCTGAGGGCTCTGGGTGCTCTGGGTGCTCTGAGGGCTCTGGGTGCTCTGGGTGCTCTGAGGGCTCTGGGTGCTCTGGGTGCTCTGAGGGCTCTGGGTGCTCTGGGTGCTCTGAGGGCTCTGGGTGCTCTGAAGGCTCTGGGTGCTCTGGGTGCTCTGAGGGCTCTGAGGGCTCTGGGTGCTCTGGGTGCTCTGGGGGCTCTGGGTGCTCTGGGTGCTCTGGGGGCTCTGGGTGCTCTGAGGGCTCTGGGTGCTCTGAAGGCTCTGGGGGCTCTGGGTGCTCTGAGGGCTCTGGGTGCTCTGAGGGCTCTGGGTGCTCTGGGTGCTCTGGGGGCTCTGGGTGCTCTGAGGGCTCTGGGGGCTCTGAGGGCTCTGGGGGCTCTGGGTGCTCTGGGGGCTCTGGGTGCTCTGGGGGCTCTGAGGGCTCTGGGGGCTCTGAGGGCTCTGGGGGCTCTGGGGGCTCTGGGGGCTCTGGGGGCTCTGGGTGCTCTGGGTGCTCTGGGTGCTCTGAAGGCTCTGGGTGCTCTGGGTGCTCTGAGGGCTCTGGGTGCTCTGGGTGCTCTGAGGGCTCTGGGGGCTCTGGGTGCTCTGAGGGCTCTGAGGGCTCTGGGGGCTCTGAGGGCTCTGGGGGCTCTGAGGGCTCTGGGGGCTCTGGGGGCTCTGGGTGCTCTGGGTGCTCTGAGGGCTCTGGGTGCTCTTAGGGCTCTGAGGGCTCTGGGTGCTCTGGGTGCTCTGAGGGCTCTGGGTGCTCTGGGTGCTCTGAGGGCTCTGGGTGCTCTGGGTGCTCTGAGGGCTCTGGGTGCTCTGGGTGCTCTGAGGGCTCTGGGTGCTCTGAAGGCTCTGGGTGCTCTGGGTGCTCTGAGGGCTCTGAGGGCTCTGGGTGCTCTGGGTGCTCTGGGGGCTCTGGGTGCTCTGGGTGCTCTGGGGGCTCTGGGTGCTCTGAGGGCTCTGGGTGCTCTGAAGGCTCTGGGGGCTCTGGGTGCTCTGAGGGCTCTGGGTGCTCTGAGGGCTCTGGGTGCTCTGGGTGCTCTGGGGGCTCTGGGTGCTCTGGGTGCTCTGAGGGCTCTGGGGGCTCTGAGGGCTCTGGGGGCTCTGGGTGCTCTGGGGGCTCTGGGTGCTCTGGGGGCTCTGAGGGCTCTGGGGGCTCTGAGGGCTCTGGGGGCTCTGGGTGCTCTGGGTGCTCTGAAGGCTCTGGGTGCTCTGAGGGCTCTGGGTGCTCTGGGTGCTCTGAGGGCTCTGGGGGCTCTGGGTGCTCTGAGGGCTCTGAGGGCTCTGGGGGCTCTGAGGGCTCTGGGGGCTCTGAGGGCTCTGGGGGCTCTGGGTGCTCTGGGTGCTCTGAAGGCTCTGGGTGCTCTGGGTGCTCTGAGGGCTCTGGGTGCTCTGGGTGCTCTGAGGGCTCTGGGGGCTCTGGGTGCTCTGAGGGCTCTGGGTGCTCTGAGGGCTCTGAGGGCTCTGGGTGCTCTGGGTGCTCTGAGGGCTCTGGGGGCTCTGGGTGCTCTGGGGGCTCTGGGTGCTCTGGGTGCTCTGAGGGCTCTGGGTGCTCTGGGTGCTCTGGCAGGTGCACTGGGGCTCTTAGGACTCTGGGGGCTCTGGGTGCTCTGGGGGCTCTGGGTGCTCTGGGTGCTCTGGGTGCTCTGGGTGCTCTGAGGGCTCTGGGTGCTCTTAGGGCTCTGAGGGCTCTGGGTGCTCTGGGTGCTCTGAGGGCTCTGGGTGCTCTGGGTGCTCTGAGGGCTCTGGGTGCTCTGGGTGCTCTGAAGGCTCTGGGTGCTCTGGGTGCTCTGGGGGCTCTGAGGGCTCTGGGTGCTCTGGGTGCTCTGGGGGCTCTGGGTGCTCTGGGTGCTCTGGGGGCTCTGGGTGCTCTGAGGGCTCTGGGTGCTCTGAAGGCTCTGGGGGCTCTGGGTGCTCTGAGGGCTCTGGGTGCTCTGAGGGCTTGGGTGCTCTGGGTGCTCTGGGGGCTCTGGGTGCTCTGGGTGCTCTGAGGGCTCTGGGGGCTCTGAGGGCTCTGGGGGCTCTGGGTGCTCTGGGGGCTCTGGGTGCTCTGGGGGCTCTGAGGGCTCTGGGGGCTCTGAGGGCTCTGGGGGCTCTGGGGGCTCTGGGTGCTCTGGGTGCTCTGGGGGCTCTGGGTGCTCTGGGGGCTCTGGGTGCTCTGGGTGCTCTGAGGGCTCTGGGTGCTCTGAGGGCTCTGGGGGCTCTGGGTGCTCTGAGGGCTCTGGGTGCTCTGAGGGCTCTGAGGGCTCTGGGTGCTCTGGGTGCTCTGAGGGCTCTGGGTGCTCTGGGTGCTCTGAGGGCTCTGGGTGCTCTGGGTGCTCTGAGGGCTCTGGGGGCTCTGGGTGCTCTGGGGGCTCTGGGTGCTCTGGGTGCTCTGGGGGCTCTGAGGGCTCTGGGTGCTCTGGGTGTTCTTAGGGCTCTGAGGGCTCTGGGTGCTCTGGGGGCTCTGAGGGCTCTGGGGGCTCTGGGTGCTCTGGGGGCTCTGGGTGCTCTGGGTGCTCTGGGGGCTCTGGGTGCTCTGGGTGCTCTGGGGGCTCTGAGGGCTCTGGGTGCTCTGGGGGCTCTGGGGGCTCTGGGCACTCTTGTTGAGGCCCGGGCATCCACACTGCCTGCACAATGGCTCCCGATGCCTGTTAGTCAGGAGCTCGCAGGGCAGCCAACACACGGAAGTCTGTGGACGGGACCCCCACTTGGAAGAGCCCCCAGAACAGGAAGGGTCCTGGGCTGGCTGTGCGAGAAGGTCAGTGTTTGCAGGAAGACAGGAAGGTTTCTGCTCGGCTTGGGGAAGGACACGGGAACAAGGAAGGTGGTGTTTTGAGGCCAGCGGGTCCTGCCGCGGTTCTTCCGTGTCCAGCCTGCGGGACTCTGGGTTTGAGGCTGGCCAGGCAGATGAGGGGCCGGGGCGAGTATGGGATGGGGCCTGGGGGCTCCCCCGGCTTCTGTTTTGTGTCCTGGCTCACGGGCTCCTTCGCTGCCTCTGCTGACCCAGGTTCCTGCTGGTGTTCTCCTGCCTCGTGCTCTCCGTGTTCTCCACCATCAAAGAGTACGAGAAGAGCTCGGAAGGCGCGCTCTACATCCTGGTGAGCCTGCAGGGAAGGGGCTGGCCTCGGACCGGCATCCCACCTGCCTCTCCCCAGCACCCAGCCCCAGCCTGACCTGGCCTGGTCCCCACCCTGTGTCGTCACTGCCTGGCAGCCCCACTGCCCCTACCTCCCGCTCTCCCAGATCCTGAGGGCCACCGGGCGCCCTCCGCCGTGGAGAAGTGGGCTGTGTCCGTTAGACATGGCTGTGGGCAGGGTGGGGATTGATGCTCATAGCAGTCCCATGAGGGCCAGAGGCGAAGCTATGGCAACCACTGTAATTGAGGTGCTGCTGTTAGTGACAGAGGGGCCTCCCACCCCAGCCCTCTCCTGGGGCTGCCCCAATGACACCAGCTCAGCCGGGCCACCCCGGCCGCTGCCGCAGTCCCTGCGGTGGCTCAGCTGCGCCTCCCCCGCAGGAAATTGTAACCATCGTGGTGTTCGGCGTGGAGTATTTTGTGCGGATCTGGGCCGCGGGCTGCTGCTGCCGGTACCGCGGCTGGAGAGGGCGGCTCAAGTTCGCCCGGAAACCCTTCTGTGTGATCGGTGAGGCCTGGTGGGTGCAGGGTGGACACGGGCTCTGGAGAGAGTGGGGGAGCCAGGAGAACGCCCCGCAGAGGTCCTGGTTACCTCGGCCGGGAAGGCGGGCGCAGGCAGCCGTGCCCAGGGCAGGGCTGGCGGATGATAGTCAGTCTCCACACTGGGCGGGTGCTCTGCATGCACGCCTGTCCATCTGTCCATCTTCCTGGAACCCAGGCGGAGGGTCCCGTCCCCCACGCACAGCTGCCTCGAGCTCCCCCTCTCCGCAGACATCATGGTGCTCATTGCCTCCATTGCGGTGCTGGCCGCCGGCTCCCAAGGCAACGTCTTCGCCACGTCCGCGCTCCGCAGCCTGCGCTTCCTGCAGATCCTCAGGATGATCCGCATGGACCGGCGTGGCGGCACCTGGAAGCTCCTGGGCTCTGTGGTCTATGCCCACAGCAAGGTGCGCAGCCTCAGCGAGGGCGCAGGGCTGGCTGGACGGAGCCTGGGAATTCGGCCGGCTTTCCCGCACAGCCCCAGCCTGTCGGCCCTGCCGGAAGCCACTGGCCTGAGGCTGGGTGGGAGTGCTGGGATCGATACCTGTCACTGCCCGTTTAGGCTGCAGCTGGTGGGATGAGAGCGGGGCTCCAGGCAGGGCCTACAGCACTCGAGCTGGAGCTGGCGCCCTCCCTGCGGACCCAGCGGTGCTGGCCGCCGGCTCCCAAGCTCCCATGTCCCACTACCCACCCTCCCTCCTGTCTGAGCCCTGAGGACCAAGGGTGTTGGTCCCTCAAGGTGCTGAGGTGCTGGACCCCTTAAGGGTGGCAGGCAGTCAGGTGCCTCCCCCCAGGCTCAGGGAAGTTGAGGTAGGATGTCAGGTTCCAACATTCTTGCCTGATGGCCTGTCAGCTGCTTGGGACACTGCCAAACCTGCCTACATGTGTGTGCTGGGCTGTCCTTAGCCACTGTCCTCCCAGGTGTGCAGGGCACAGGTGTGGGGACACCCAGGAAAACAGCCACCCCTGTTGTCTGCTCCGAGCCTGGGGCCATGTGGCTGGGAGCTGCTGGCCAGCCCACTGGGAACTGTGCACCCACTGCCGGAGCCCTGAGACACAGCCTCCTGGGGGACCAGCCTGGTGCTCTTGGGGGCGGGGTGGCTGACACTGGCCAGGTGCTGTGACGTGGCTGTCTCTTTCAGGAGCTGGTCACCGCCTGGTACATCGGCTTCCTGTGCCTCATCCTGGCCTCGTTTCTGGTGTACTTGGCCGAGAAGGGTGAGAACGACCACTTCGACACCTACGCAGACGCGCTCTGGTGGGGCCTGGTGAGTCCCCGCGCTGGGCTCGTCCTTTAATGAGGATGTGCTCCCTGGGGACCCTCGTCTGCACCCTCCTGCGTGCCCTCCGTATGGCCACTGCCAGGCTTGGCGTGTGACCTGACTCGCTGTCCTGCAGATCACCCTGACGACCATTGGCTACGGGGACAAGTACCCCCAGACCTGGAACGGGAGGCTCCTGGCGGCAACATTCACCCTCATTGGCGTCTCCTTCTTTGCTCTTCCTGCCGTGAGTCCTCCCCGTCCTGCCTTTGGTGGAGTGGGTGCTGGGCTCCCAAGGCGGCTGTAGGCTGCCGTGGGCACCTGTCCCCGGGGAGCCTGGGGCAAGAGTGGGGCTCCACGTAGGGCCTCCGGCGCTCTGTGGCAGCTCAGGTGCACGGAGGCACCCTTCCTGGGAACCCAAGTGGGGCTGTTCGGGCCTGGCCCGGTAGCTTCCAGGACACAGCGTCCCCAAGCTGTGGCTTCTGACCCCATATCTGTTGGCCACTGTCCGCTCCTCCTGGCGGAACTGGCCAACAGGATCAGTGCTGTGGATGACGTGGCTCCCTTGTCGGGTCTCCAGGGGACCAAAACCCCCTCTCCTCAGAAGGGGCAAGGCTCTGTTCTGCCCACCTGCCTCCGGGCCACACGGCCAGCAGGGCAGTAGCAGGCAGCCTCGGAGAGCCTGGCCTGCCCTCGCTGCCGTGTGGGCAGGTTAGGGAAGGATGATTAACCTTTGGGCCCAGATGTGCTCAGTGTGGGCACTGCCATGCTCCTGCAGGCCGACATGTCCTTTACCTCAAGTCCCAGTGTCCCCCAGCCTGGCATCGGGGAATTAGGGACTGAGACGGTGGGAGGTGGAGCCAAGAGGCAGGTGTGGGGTGGGGTGGGGTGGGGTGGAGCAGTGCGGTCCGGGGCACTTTCTGACACCAGTGACTTGCAGGGCATTTTGGGGTCTGGCTTTGCCCTGAAAGTTCAGGAGCAACATCGGCAGAAGCACTTTGAGAAGAGGCGGAACCCTGCCGCAGGCCTGATCCAGGTGAGTGCGGTGGCCCCCACTTCGGACCAGTGGAGCCCCCCGATCTGGTCCGTTGTGTCCAGGAGCAAAGCCCTGCTTGGAGCGGTCCCTGTCGGTGGACAGGCCTTTGCCCCTCTAGGAGCTGGTTAGCGCGTGCTGAGAACCAGGTTAGAGGCCAAAGGCTGTCCGAGTGCAGCACAGGTGGTGCTGTGCTGGTGGGCTGCTGTCCTGCTCGGCCCCAGGCCAGGCCAGCTGTCACCGGTGCCATCGAGCTGCTCCTCACAGCGCCCTGGTGGGCAGGGCCAGTCTCACCGGGCCCGCACACGCGCGGTTCAGAGGCTGCACTCACGCAGCCAGTGCTGAGCCACCTCTGTGCTACCCTCACACAGCCCGCCCGCCGCTAGACACAGCGCCACTTCATGCCCAGCAGCTTCCTGCCTTCACTTTGTTCACCTGGAAACTCAGAGGCACGTGTGCTCGCTGCAGCACTGGGGCCCGGCAATGGGCAGACTGAAAAACCAGGTTTGGGAAGGAGACATGGGGAGATTAGGACTCTGGAAAGACCCCGTATATGCGGGAACTAGGAGACCACACACATGTCCAGGGCTGGCTGCAGGTCAGAGGTGACTGGAGAAGACCCCAAGCCTTCCCCTCAAAGACCTTCGGCTTTGCGAACAGGAAGTACAGGCTAATACAAGTTGTAAGTGGCCTCCCCAAATGTTGAATGAGTGTCCAACACCGAGCCAATTGGCAGAGCCTGAGTCTTTGTTTCCTCTTTGGTTCCTTGGGTTTAAGGAAACCTCTGTTAAAGCAGTAGCTGACCACTGAGCGAATGGAGCAGAGACTTGAGTCACTACACAATGCAAAATACTGCGTGTCTGAAATTATTTAGAAAGTCAGTAAACATGCCGGGACCGGTTTAGCTCAATGGATAGAGCGTCGGCTTGGGGACTGAAGGGACCCGGGTTCGATTCCGGTCAAGGGCATGTACCTTGGTTGCGGGCATATCCCCAGTAGGGGGTGTGCAAGAGGCAACTGATCGATGACTCTCCCTCATCGATGTTTCTAACTCTCTATCTCTATCCCTTCCTCTCTGTACAAAATCAATAAAATATATTAAAAAAAAAAAGAAAAAAAAAAAAGAAAGTCAGTAAACAAACAGCTACAATCAGCAAGCAGTAACGACAAACGCTGAGGAGGGGCAGAATCTGACTTCCAAAAGTTTTTTTGTTACAGCATCCAGAACATCCAGCTTCTTTTTCTTTTCTTTTTAAAAATTTAATATACTTTTATTGATTTCAGAGAGGAAGGGAGAGGAAGAGAGAGAGAGAAACATCAGTGATGAGAGAGAATCATTGATCACTGCCTCCTGCACACCCCCTACAGAGTCTGCAACCTGGGCTTGTGCCCTCACCAGGAATCGAGCCATGACCTCCTGGTCATAGGTTCATGCTCAACCACTAACCCATGCTGGCCAGGCCAGGACATCTTGTTTTCAGCAAAAAGTTATGAGGCATAAGAGGAGAGGGAAAGAAAGGGGCAAAAAAAATAAAAAATAAATAAAAATAAAATAATTTTTTTTTGAAGAAATAAGGTTGAAAACTTTCCAACTTTGATGAAAGCTGTGAATTGACACGTCTAAGAAGTTCAATGAACTCCAAGGAGTAAAACAAAGACCCACAAGACACTTTGAGGTCAAACTGCTAAGACCCAAAGACAAAGACAGCATCTGAAGGTAGCAAGAGAAGTGGCTCTTTAGGGGTGAGAATCCCTAAAGCTGTTTTCTCATCAGAAACTATGGAAGCCGAAACCGGTTTGGCTCAGTGGATGGAGCGTCAGCCTGTGGACTGAAGGGTTCCGGGTTCGATTCCGGTCAGGGGCATGTACCTTGGTTGTGGGCACATCCCCAGTGGAGGCAGTGCGGGAGACAGCTGATCGATGTTTCTCTCTCATTGATGTTTCTAACTCTCTATCCCTCTCCCACTCTGTAAGAAAAAAAAAAAATCAATAAAATATATTAAAGAAAGAAAGAAAGAAAGAAACTATGGGAGCCACAGGCAGTGGGATGACATATTTAAAGTCTTGAAGGAAAAATGCTGTCAGACAAGATTCATATTTCTGGCAAAACTATCCTTCAGAAATGAAGGAGAAATGAAGACATTCCCAGGTAAACAAGAGCCGAGGGAGTCTGTCACTGACAGACTTGCCTACAAGAAGTGCTAACAGGCATCCTTCAGGCTGGTCAGTACTCAGGCCGTGTGAGCTGGAGAGGTAACCAGAGGCAAGCAGAAGCGAGTAGTATTAGATGTTTGGGCTGTGACTCATTTTTTTAATATGATTTCAAAGACAAATGCATAAAGCAATAATCACTGATCTCCATTTCTGGGCACACAATGCATGAAGGTGTAATTTGTAGCAGTAACAGCATGAGGGGGACTGCAGAGCAGCAGAGTTTTGTATCCTACTGAGGCTGAGTTGGTATACACTTAAGTACACACCCGAAGGGATTGGAAAGGGTGTTTAATGAGGAATGTTCACACCAGTGCTTGCAGCAGCCTTGTTCACAACAGCCAAAAGGTGGAAACAGCCATGTGCTCATCAGCAGATGGAGGATAACGGAACTGCGGTCCCATCGCACTGAATGTGATTTATCAGCCCCGAAAGGACGAGGCACGCTGCGTGAAGGGCCCAGCGCCAGAGGCCCTGCGCTGCGATTGCATTGGTGGCACCAGGAGGCTGTGGCCCGGGGTGCCGGGGCGGGGATGTGCGGGAGATGGCTAAAGGGGATGGGGTGGTTGGTTCTGAGGTGATGAGGATGTGGAACCAGAGAGTGGTGAGGATCACAGGCCATCACGAGGGCACTGACTGCTGCTGGGTGGGGACTTTTGTTACTTCCCCACACTTAGGAAAGTTGGGGACGGAGACCCAGGCCAGGTCAAGGACGATCTAGCCAGCAGGCCAGGACCCCACACTGCTCAGTTTGACGCCCCCCACTGTCTGTGGGCCACACGCTGGCAGGATAGAGGCCTGTGTTGCTTGCCTCCCAGCTCCTGAGGTCACACGGGCCATGTATGTCCCTTCAGGACTGGGGAGGCAGGAGGTGACCACGAAACCAGGCTGTAAACTGCCAGGTGTCAGGTAAGACTGACGAGGAGAGGAGCAGCCTGCTGGTTGCCCCAGCCCCGCCGCCGGAGCCCCAGTGCGACGGGCAGAGGTGCCCTCCGATCTGCAGGGTGAATCGGGGCCTGTGGGGGAGGGACAGGTGCCTGATGCCCTCAGAGAGATGGCAGGGCCGTGTGGTCCCCACGCCCTGGCCCTGCCCTCGTGGTTGACCGTCGTGTCTCCCGTAGTCTGCCTGGAGGTTCTACGCCACCAACCTGGCGCGCACGGACCTGCACTCCACGTGGCAGTACTACGAGCGCACGGTCACCGTGCCCATGTACAGGTACCGCCGCCGCGCCATCACGCTCCTCCGCCTTCACCCATCGTTTCGAAACCCCTGCTTTTTATGTTCATTATTTTTATTGATTTTTGTTTCTTTTTTACTTTAAAATTTATGTACTTTTCAAAATGGAGTTCCGTGTGTGGTTATTTCGCTGTTGATTTTGCTTTGTTTCATAGCTCACAGCTTCTTTCCACCTCTGTCCGCCCACTTGGCCTCCTGGCCAGGTCCACGTGTCGCGGGCACTGCGGGGACGGCCCCGAGAGCTCGGCACGCCCGAGGGGCAGCGCCACGCTCCAGGGGACGGGGTCTGCACCGGCAGAGGGTGACCCCTGACACAGCGAGGCTTTAGGACGGGCAGACACATATCCCCGGGGTCCCAGGCGCCCTTGGCTGGGCCAAAGGGGCGGAAGCCCTGGGTAGGCACGCTGGGCGGGGCGCTGCCCGCAGGCCAAGCTTTCCAGGCGAGAGCAGCGAGCAGCCCGGACGGGAGTGGCCGCCCAGGGTTTGTCTGTGCGGGGCTGGGGCTGCCCGGTGCCCGCCCACGCCTCCTGCCCTCTGCCCTGTGCGGTGAAGCTAAGCCTGCCCCAGGGCTGGCGCCCATGGATCCCTCACCTGAGAGGCTGGCCTGGCAGGACAGGCTGTCCCCGCTGCCGCTGCCCCTGGGAGCAGCCCGCCCTGCAGCGCCAGGCACTGTGCCCCCCGCCGGGCGACAACGCCGCTAATTTTCTCTGTTCTGTTGTTTCCCCACTCTCCTCGACTGTTTTCGTTTTCTTTTCCTTACCCCGTTCTTTTAAATGTCCACTCTCTCCCCTTGCGTGTGTGTGAAACACTTGAAAGCTCACAAGCTCAAACCTACGGGGCCTCCAGGTAGGACATGCATGGGACGAAAGCGTGGTGTGGTCTGTCCCCTGTGTGACTGTCACGGCACCCAGTGTGCAGGCCAGTGGCCGCCCGCCACGCCCCTGCACCCCTCCCAGCCTGGGCCCGGCCGGGCCTGCCCTGCCCCCTGTGTCCACGCCTGGGGTGCACTTTCCTCACCTCCCCGTTCCCTCAAAACTGCCCCCTCCCCAGCTGCTTTCTTGTGTTGGATCTGTCTCCCAAGTCTTGTCCTTGTCCTGCTTCTTGCCTGTCTCAGTGGCTGGGTCCCTCCCTCCCTGGTCCACCCACCCCATGAGCCTACGTACGCACAGACAGACATGCTGAAACTGGGCTCCTCGTCCCACTCGGGGCCACTGCACACGTGGTGGCCGGGCAGCTGGCCTGAGCCCTCCCTGTAGATCCCACGCTCCTTCTTCTTGCTGCCACAGAGGGAGACACAGCCCCGGGAGGAGCGGCCCGCGTCCGTCCAACCTGCCGGATCGCTGTGTCTGCTCTGCACTGGGCTCTCTCCTGCCCGAAGGGAGAAATTTCACCCACACAGCACTCCGAGCTTCCTGCGAGCGGGTGGGGCAGTGCGGGGTGTCCACAGCCCTGCAGGGGCCCCTCCTTGGGTGTTAACCGCAGCCCGAGGGGAGAGGCTCGCTGGGCCGGGCAGGGCCAGGCTCCACGGTGGGGGGCCCTGAGCCCCTCGGTCGCATCGCCTCTGTGAGCCCGAGGCTTCGCGCTGAGAAGGTGCGGCGGGAGCCGTGTCCTCCCGTCTGGGACCAGGGTTCCTGGGGTTCCAGGCCGCCCGGGCATTTCCCCGATTGCCCCCTGGCCGGCTCAGATCCCCCGGGCTCTGCAGAGCCCCCCCCCCCACCTCACAGGGGCCTCCGGGCTCCAGTGCCCGGAGCTGGCTGGCCCCCAGACCAGTCGCTGCGCCTCCTGGGAGATGCCCCTGGCATGTGCCCACTCCTGTCCGCACACTGCACCCACCCTCACGGCCGCTGCCCTCGGAGATGACGTGTGTGCCTGGCCCTGTGTGCGGTGCCTGCGTGTTCCTGCCCACAGCCTGCCCGCCTGAGTCCCGTCCCCTGTGCTGTGTCCCTCACCCTGGACCTGCATGTGAGGGGGCCATCCGCTCTCTGCTCCAGGCCTGTGGGCCGTGGCTGGGGCAGTTCTGTCCTGGGGAGGGAAAGGCTCCCAGGGCCGTCTTCTCCAGCAGGTCTCAGCATGCCATGGAGCAGGGCTGGGGGGGGGGGGGACCGAGCTGTGGGCGGGGCGGGGGGTGCAGGGCTGTGGGGGTGCAGGGCTGTAGGCAGGGGGGGGCGTGCAGGGCTCGGGGGGGGGGCGTGCAGGGCTCGGGGGGGGGAGGGAAGGGTTGGGGGGGAGCGGCAGGCTGCTCCGTGGGCGGTGCCCAGACTGCTGGGCGGTGATGCCGGTGGAGGTGTGGCCCCAAACCAGGGTCCTGAGCCCCTGGGAGCGCAGGCCGAGCCCTGAGGGGGATTCTGGGAGGAGGCCCGCCCAGGTGAGCAGTCCCACAGGGCAGTGCTGGGGGTCAAGGCAGGTCCACTCGGGAGGGTCTTCGCTGCCGAGCGGCAGATCCTGCGCTGAAGTTTCTGGCTGTGCCGTGACTGGCAGGCCGGGGAGGAGGGTGACTGGACAGAGGGGAGTGTGAGGGGCCAGAGGGAAGCCAGAGATACAGGGCAGCCCTCATAGTCCAGTGTGCAGTGGAATCCATGACCTTTCTGCTGGTGAGTGACAGGAGCCGTCACCTGAAGGGCCAGCCTCTGAAGGCCTAGGCGGAAGCGTAGGAGGGGAGGAGCAGCCGGGAGGAGCGGGCGGAGGGCTGGGTGAGCCCTGTGTGGCTGGACGCCAAGCCAGCTTGCCGAGGTGAGGCTCAGACACAGTCGCAGGGGTGGGGTCAGGGGCCCTGGGGTCCAGAGGGTGGAGGCTGAGGAGAGGGCTGGGCTGGGGCTGGGAGTGGGTCTTGGAGCCTGGTCTTGGGGAGGGACCCGGACTCAGAGGCTGAGGGGTGAGTGGGGTGTCAGTTATGGGGCTGGATCAGGAGCAAGAAGCCTGGGGTCACACAGAGTGAGAGGAAATGTGGGGGAGGAGGTGGTGAGGAGCTGAGAGTAGGGTGGACTGTGGGGCCTGGGACCTCCCCAGGCACCTCCTGGGCCCACAGCGTAGGCCCTGGTGTGAAGCAGGGCTGTGTGAAGTCTGCTGGACTGCCCTGTGGCCAGCAGGCGGTGGGGGTATGAGCTGTCTGGTGGTGTGCCTGGGTCTGGGGGAGGGGGCTGGAGGGAGCGAGGCCAGCTGTCCAGGCCTCTCCCTGTCCGAGCAGCCTCTTCACAGCTCACAAAGCTGCCCGAGACCCCGCCTGGCCCGGCTTTGCAGAGGGTCGGGAGCCCAGTCTGCTGGGCGCTGTGTCCGTGGCTGTGCTGCCCTGGGGGGTGCAGGGATCGGGAGGGGACGGGAGGGCCACCCTGCCTGCGCCCGGGGCCCTGCTCGACCCGCTCCGTGAGGTCGGGGGTCGGAGTCTCCGGGGACGCGGCCTGGGCCCTGCTCCCTTCCCTCTGAGTGCATGCTGGTCACTGGCCGCCTCCAGGGCCACGGCCCCGGACAGGTGTGGCCAGAGCACACAGATGGGCTTCTGCCGGCGCCCGCCCGCCCGCCCTGCTCTTGTGGTGAGGCGGGATCTGGGCGGTGCCCGGGCTCGGGCGAGCTCACTGCCCTCTCTCCCTCAGACTGATCCCCCCGCTCAACCAGCTGGAGCTGCTGCGGAACCTCAAGAGCAAATCCGGCCTCACATTCAGGTCAGCAGAGCTGCCGCGCGGCTGGGGCGGGCTTGGAGTGCCCGTGCTCCTCGCGGGCACTGCTGCCCCCGGGGACGGGACACCTGGCTGGCCGGCCACAGGCCTGCGATGTCCGCGGGCCTGACCCAGGGGTGAGGGGGGGAGGAGGGCCCGGGCCCACGTCAAGAGCTCTGAGTGGGCAGAGCAGCTGCAGGTCAGCGCGGCCCCTCCCCCGAGACGTGGGTGGCGGGGCCTGTGAGGGCGGGAGCTGGGGAAAAGCTTGTGGGGAAGTGAAGGCCGCTCTGGGGCAGCGAGGCCCTAAACCGTCACGCGTGTCCTCTTGAGGGACAGGGAAAGGGCCGTGTGAGCAGGTGGAGACAAGCCGGGCCGCTGGTCGCTGGCTACAGAATGCGGGGGAGGTGGGTGGGGAGGAGCTGCTGAGCAGAGAAGCCAGCTCCAGAGACGCGGGGGGTCGGCCGGCCAGATTGCGAAGGGCAGTAACTTGGGAGGAAGAACCGCTTCAGGGAGAGGCCCGGTGTGGAGGGGGAGGCCCCGTGTGGGGGTGTGGGGGCTGGGGGGACTGGGAGCGGTTCCGGGCCTGGGGGCCCAGCCCGCCCTCCTGCAGCAGCAGTGTGGAGAGGGGCTTCTGGGGGAAGCGAGAGCCCTGGAGCAGCGACCCTCTCCCAGGCCCCGCCTCCTCGGGGCTCAGGAGCGGGGGCTGTGGGCAGGGCAGGTGGGGTGTGGTGCCGAGGGAGGCCTCCTGCCCCGGGGTGTGCCTGGCGGGGTCGGCCCTGACAGTCCTCTTGCTTCTGTTTGAAGGAAGGAGCCGCAGCCGGAGCCGTCCCCCAGGTCAGTGTGCGCCCACTCCCGTGTCTGCATGCCGCGCCGCCCGGGCTGCTCCGTGGCTGTGCCCGGACTGCTGGGCGGTGATGCCGGTGGAGGTGTGGCCCCAAACCAGGGTCCTGAGCCCCTGGGAGCGCAGGCCGAGCCCTGAGGGGGGTTCTGGGAGGAGGCCCGCCCAGGCGAGCAGCCCCACAGGGCAGTGCTGGGGGTCAGGGCAGGGCCACTCGGGAGGGTCTTCGCTGCCGAGCGGCAGATCCTGGTGGTTGGAAGCTTCTGGGGAGAATGGGAAGGGTGCCTTTAGCGCAGGCTCTCAGCAGGTGAGAGCCCGGCCTGAGGAGGGCGCGGGGGTGACCTCTGTGCAGGTGGACACGGTGTGGCCCCGTGTCTCCCTCGTGCAGCAGAGAGCTCAGGCCACAGCACAGCTTCACGTGAGCTGCAGCCTCGGGGTGGCCCCGCGCCCCCTGCACTCACTGCAGGGGCCCAAGGCACCACCCTCCTGCTGCTCCCCACGGTGCCCTCCGGGCGGCGGTGGCGCGCTGGCTGCAGGTGGGGTAGACAGGATTGGCTGCGCTCGCCCTCTCCAGCCCCGTGGCAGCCCCCTGTCCCCGCCGTGCCTGGAGGGAGGGTGGGCGGTGCTTGTCCTGAGCTCCACAGGGCCGCCGCGCAGGGACCCTCCGAGGCTGAGGAAACGCTCTGGACAGGAGCTGGTCAGCCAGGGTGGGGCCGGTCTGTGCCTCACGGCACCGGTGGGTGGCGGACTCGGTGCCTCGCCCACCGGCCCTCTGCCCCGTGTCTGCGAGGGCTTCCTGTGGGCTCCCACGCCCACAGCCGGCTGTTCTCCCCTCCGGCACTCCGGTCTCAGCCTCTCTCTCTCTCTCTCTCCTCCCTGCCCGCCCCTCCCAATCTGGAACTCTGGCCCCAGTGCCTTTAGTCTGGCACTGCCCTCTGGGGCCCTTTCCCGCGCTCTGTCTTTGGGGATGAGGCACTGGCCCTGAGAGCAGGACTCCAGGTGAGGACACGGGCGCCGCCGGGCTCTGCATAGGCTCCCCGCCCTCGCCAGTCCTCGTCCTCCCACGTGTCCTGTGTCCCTGCCTGCCTGCCCAGCAGCTCCCCAGGGCCAGCCCGGCCCCGCCTCCTGGGAACCAAGGGCTTTGCCTCCCCGAGTGGCACACCTATCCTCCAGGTACTGGCACCGAAGCAGGTGTGTAAGAAGCTGCTCTGCACCGCACTTGTCCCGGGAGCCTGGGGCCGTGGGAGCGATCCTGCTCCGTAAGTGCAGGTGGAGGGGTGGACGCAAGGACCCTCGCTCAGCTCAGGGAGCCCAGGCCCGTGGCGGGCACACCACAGCTGTGGTGGGTCAGACAAGGCCGTCTGCACAGGCTGGAGCTGGGGGCTGGGGCAGCCAGGGGCCTCAGGCGGTGCTGCTCTGGGCGTGTCCCTGACCCCCCCTCTGACCCTTCCCATTTCTGACTGCCTCCCCCCCCCCCCCGTCCAGGGAGGAGACCCTGCCCTCAGTGCTTCGCCCCGTGTCCACACGGGTCCCTCCTTGTCACAGGCGTGTCTGTCCAGGGCCTTGGTGAGTGTCTGTGGTGGGTCTCCCTCCCTCCTGGGCCTGGCCTCCCTGGGCTTGAAGCGGAAGCTCTAAGACAGGAGACAGCCAGGTTGGCTGATGAGCAGGAACACCAGAGCCAGCCTGGACCTCAGAGGGACAGGCAGAGTCGGAGTTCTTGACACCCCAGGCTCAGGATCGGGGTGCCAGCAGCCCACCGTCCTCAGCTCTGGTAGGCTCTGAGGCTGCAGGGCCCACAGGAGCCACGGCCACGTGCGCCGTTCAGGTCCCACTGACCTGCATCCAGCGAGCAGCCGCCGCCGCCCGAGTGCTCTGGGCCGGGGGTGGGCAGCCCGCCAGACCGCAAAGAGCTGCCTGTGCGGGCGGAGGGGCCTGAAATGCTTGCAGGGAAGGCGCTGAGCGGGAGGTTCGCAGCAGCAAACTGGGACCTTCACCGCTGGAAGCTGAGCCACCCCCTGCTCCCACCAGGGGGAGCCCGAGGGGGCTGCCTGGGCCCCGGAGGCTCTGGCTAAGGGCCCTGCCTCTAGCTGTCAGTGGGCTCTGATGGACTGTGTGACAGGGAGGGTGCCCTGGGAGAGAATGTTTGCCCCGAATTCAAGGGGCTTCTGGGAGCTGCCAGGTGGGGTCTGGGTCTGGGGATACTGAGTCACAGGGAGGTTTGCCCCGTGTGAGAGCACTTGCCAGGCAGCAGGGCCCAGCTGCCTCCCACCGGGATAAGTACCTGGCAGGCCCCACAGGGAGGCGGCCAGGGGCGCGCAGGTCCTTCTTGGGGGGCATGGGGAGGCCCGTGAGGCTCTGAGAGCCGGGCTTGCTGGTTCAGAGGAGGTCGGTGGCTGCTCTATGTGGGAGTGGAGAGGGGTGTCGACATCCCCGATGCTTAAACGAATGTGTGTGTGGATGCTGAGCCTCCTCCTGGGAGCGGAGGCCACCAGGCGCAGGTGGGTTCCTCGGGTGCGCAGTTTGAGAACTGCTGTCTCAGGAGCAGCAGCTTTGAAGGTGGAGAAAGAGGGAGAGGCGCCGGGAAAGCCAAGGAGGTCTTGCAGTTCTGGTTTGTTGCTCTCTTGCGCGTTCTGTTGCAGATACCTCCCGGCTTTCAGGAGGTCCTTGGGCGCTGGCCATGGAGGACACCCCAGCTCCCCTCCCTGGCCTGGTGCCCAACCCTCTTCCCCTGAGCCTCCTCCAGGGAGAGGCGGCCTCTGACTGGGCAGCTGGCTTGGCTCGGCAAACCTTACTGATTGGTTTGTGAAACCAAACTACGCATTTTCCTCCTAAAAACATGTGCCTCCCAGAACCCTGTCCACTAGTGCAAGCCTTTTGCAAAGTCTTAGCCCAGGTATTGTCTTTGTTTGTGAATGCAGCAAAATAACTCATCTTCCCAAAGGTGTGACCCCAAGCTCCGGCTCCGGAAGGAGAAGACATTTTGGAGGGAAAAACGGAACTTTTTATTTTCTCCTAAAATAGGGGACTGTTTTCTTCTCCAGGCGTGCAGCCTCCGTAAGGTCCTAGCTCAGACACAAGCTCTGTGGCTGTGGACCCTCAGCCCAGAGCTACCCCTGGGGCGGTCACGTGCCTCAGTTTGCCTGCCCAGTTGCCGAGCCCAGGCGCCCTGCTGGGACTAACTGTGCTCTCCTCGTTTCCAGTAAAGGCAGGACGTGCAGAGAGGGCCTGTGCGGATGCTGCCCTGGACGCTCTAGGTACCATGGACGCATGGCACGGACGCCCTGCTGCACGGCTCATCCGCTCCCAGCGCTGCTTGTTAGGATTTCCAGAGGAGCCGGGAGAGGCCCGGCTCCCCAATTCCGATTGGCAGCGAGGCCCACAGCCTGCTAGGGCAGTGCGAGGCGCCCTCTGATTCCAAAACGCTTTCTCCTTAAGCCAAGGAGCCCTGCTTCCAGCAGGAGTGGCCGGCCAGGGGCCTGAGAACCCAGAGAGTTCGCTGGCCCCGGGACCCTGAGGCTCCAGAAGCCCCTCTCTGGGGCCAGTGTGCACCCCTGCTCGGCACCTGAGGACAGCCCCCCTCACCGGCCACCTGGCCGCCTGCCGGGCACTCCGTCCCGGGTGTGCCGGCTCCCGTGGTCCTCACACACCAAATACCAGAAAGCCAGAGGCCCATGGCTCCCCTTCCACGCACAGGCCTGGTTGAGGGCAGACTGGACCCGGCCGGCGGAGGGCGCACCCCTGACACCATGAGCACCTCAGCTGCTCCCAGTGCTCCTCGTCCGCTGTCAGGCGGCGGAGCAGACTGTCGTCTTTCTGCTTGCTCAGAGTGCACCCCCGTCTCCCTCCTGCCGGGTGTGGGAGCCACTCACTGGTCGTCCCGTGCGTGTGGTCGGTGCCGAGGGAGCACACAGGGTGCCCAGGCGTCGGAGGGCCGTGCAGCAGGATCAGGCCCCAGGGGCCGCATGCTTGCACCTCTGCATCTGCGCATGCTCCAAACCCTTCTCCACCTGTCCATGCTACCTGTGTGCTCACGGACGTGGGAGCTTGTGGGATGATGTAGCCCCAGGGGAGAGGTCTGGGCGGGCAGAGGCGTCCTGCTTGCCCGGAGCTGGGTCCATGGTGCGTCTAGCCACAGGCTGCTCCCTCAGGCCGGCTGCGTCAGGCAGCGTGGGGACAGAAGGGCCAGGAGGCCAGCCGGGTGCAGTCCTGCCTTGCACAGAGTCAGAAACGTCCCTCCGTCCTGGGCATCGGGCCCGCCACTGTGCGGCCTCTGACCCGCCCATCCCAACTTGCCGCTGGCCCCACGACTGAGACTTCCGCCCTGGGTATGGCGGGCAGGGAGGGGTGCTGGGTGCAGTGTTCTCTCCCAGGCTCTCCTGAACGTGCTCAGCCTATGTAAGTGCCAGAGCCTCAAGCCCCTCATGTGCACGGGATCTGTCCTTGGCTTGGGAGGGAGGGAGGGAGGGCCGCTGGCACTGGGTATCTGGAGTTGGGGCAGGTCCGGGTGGCATCAAGTGGCTGGGGGCGCAGAGCCTCAACGATGGTGGGGTCTGGTGTCCACCCTGTGACACTCCCAGCACCGGACCCTCGGGTCTAAGCAGGCGGCGGGGCCAGGCGGGGCCGGGGAGGCTCCTCCCCCTCCTTGGGGGGGCTGAGTTTCTGGGGCCCTTGTGCTGCCTGGGCAGCAGGTCCCGCCAGGGTCCCCCGCTCTCCTGACTGGGGGCCACACTGCTCGGGCTCTCCCTGGGCCAGCGGGTAGCCTTGGTTAGGACAGGAACACAGAAGAGTCATGTGTTCAGGGGCCCAGGCTGCCTCGGTCCCCACCTGCCCACTCAGGCCCTGCCTGCCCGCAGTGGCCACCAGCTCGGGGCCAGTGTCCTGAGCAAGCTGACTCCTGGCCTTGTGCTTGCAGGCACTCCGGGGGACTGCCCGCAGTGGGCTCCGCACCTGGGGCCCTCTGCGCCGTTCTGCCTGCAGAGACCCCTGGCCTAGTGCACGGCCTGCGGGCCAGGGCGAGGAGGGCGCCAGCCAGGCCAGGGGCCAGAGGCGCTGCCTCTCCATGGCCAGTCAGGTGGCGCTGCCTGGCTGTGCGTCCAGGCTGTGCGTCTGGTTGGGGCCGAGGGAGGTGGCTACCCGGGGGGATGTCTGAGGTTAGCAGGCGTGGTGGTTCCCACAGGAAGCCGTGGGCAGCAAGGGAATAGTCCCCAGAGCCTGCCGTCCTCTCCAGCGCATGAAGACTGCCAGGGGGGGGAAGGGAGTGGCCGCCAGGCTCCTGGCTGCTGCCCTGGGTATGGGAGCCAGGCACACTCAGTGTCAGACCCATCGCCACGGTTACTAGGTGTGTGGGCAGGGAGGCCTGTGGGGTGCGGCTGGCCGGCCCTGGCCGCCCTCCCTGCCAGCGCTCGACAGCCAAGTGGCCGCAGAGCAGACCGGCCCACTCCACCCTCCGGGAGCTGACCGTTAGCTCCCGTGCGCCTGGGGTGGGGGGAGCCTGGACAGCCCAGGGCAGGGGGAGGTGGACAGGGACCACCCCCAGGATGCTTGTGTGGTGTCCTCCCTGCTCCCCGGGGCTCTGGGGAGGGGCAGGCCGAGCCTATGGCTGGTCAGGTCCCACACTGGTCCAGGGAGAAGCCGCTGGTACTGGGCATTGGAGGACTGGTCTGGCTATGCGTGTCACCGTGGGGAGGGAGGCCTGGCTGGACAGTGTGGACAGAGCGGGGCCCCTTTTGGTGGTGGACAAAGCAACATACAACCCTGACAAGCCCCTGAGCCAGCCCGGATTCGCTGGTGGAATTGACCTGGTGACCTCCGACCCCCAGGCTCCAGGCTAGGGCAGCGGCCCAGAGGGCATTCCTCTGAGTCTGGGCTGCAGCTGTCCGGTCCACGTGGGAGGATGTCCGCTAAGAGGAGCTGACGGGGGCCAGTGTGCTGTCCAGAGTGACTCCTCCTGTCTCTTTCTGTGTGTCTGTCCGTCTGTCCTGGAGCAGTCAGAAGGTCAGTTTGAAAGACCGTGTCTTCTCCAGCCCCCGAGGTATGGCTGCCAAGGGGAAGGGGTCCCCGCAGGCTCAGCCCATCAGGCGGTCGCCCAGCGCCGACCAGAGCCTGGAGGACAGTCCGAGCAAGGTGCCCAAGAGCTGGAGCTTCGGGGACCGCAGCCGCGCACGGCAGGCCTTCCGGGTCAAGGGCGCCGCGTCACGGCAGAACTCAGAAGGTGGGTCAGGTCTGCATCGCCCGCCCAGCCCTTCCAGGGCTCGCCCGAGGGCAGCCCGCTCGCCCGCCGCTGCTTAGCGAGGTGAAAGCACGTCACGCAACATCAGCCATTCTAAAGCGAGCCATGCGGGGGCGCCGGCACGCCCACGCTGTGGCCAGGACACTTCCTCCCCAGAGGGTTCACTCCCCCCCCCCCCCCCCCCCGCCGCCCCACCCGCCTCCTCCCGGCTTGGGCGGGCCCGCGGCTTCTGTTGGGGTGTCCGGCTCAGTTCCCAGGGCGCCCTCTGGCACACGTTTCTTTTCATGCTGAGCGGTGTCCCCCGATACTGGGTGTGGACATGCCCCACTCTGGCCCTCCATCCGTCCACTCACAGTGATGCCCGCAGGCCGAGGCCGGCAAAGCTGCTGAGAGAGGACAGGTGGCGTCAAGAGCATATGGGCTGGACGGTGCCAGGGGTGCCGAGGGGTTCCCTGACGAGGGTGCCAGGCGCCAAGGGACTGGTCTCTTCGGGGCCTCACGGGCGGCGTCCCCTTCCACCCAGAAGCAAGCCTCCCCGGGGAGGACATCGTGGATGACAACAAGAGCTGCACTTGCGAGTTCGTGCCCGAGGACCTGACCCCGGGCCTCAAAGTCAGCATCCGGGCCGTGTGGTGAGTGACCCTGGCGTCTGGGTGAGGACGCCCCCTCACAGGGTCCTGACGGGCAGTCACCGTCCCTGGGATGCAGCTTTGGGGGGGTTGTGTGAGGGCACACGCTGGGGCGGGGGAGAGGGAGACACGGGCCAACACCCCCTCAGTCCCAGCTCTTGTGGCTCAGAAGGCCCTCGTGTCACGGGGTTTCCTTGCCCACCATCCGAGGGGTTAGTGAGCAGCCAGGAGCTGCCCTCGGGGTTCTCGGGTGGGTGCTGGTCTGTCTGAGCAGCTGGGACCAGAGCGGCTGTGTCTTTGGTGGGTGGGCGGCCCAGGAACAGGGACAAGTTGTCCAGAGCACCTTCTCAGAAGCGCTGGGAGGCCCAGGAAGTGGGTGCTGGGCTGGCCCTGGTGGAGGGTGTCCCGAGGTGGCCTCTGCCCCAGCTCACGGCCCTGCCCAACCCTCAGCGTCATGAGGTTCCTGGTGTCCAAGCGGAAGTTCAAGGAGAGCTTGCGGCCCTACGACGTGATGGATGTGATCGAGCAGTACTCAGCCGGCCACCTGGACATGCTGTCCCGCATCAAAAACCTGCAGTCCAGGCAAGAGCCGCCCTGAGCCCTGGGCCTGAGGCCGGGCCTCCCGGGCTGGGCTGGCACTCCACCAAGTGGGGAGACGGGTGCTGGGGAGGGCTGCCGCGCCCCCGCCAAGCTGGGGGCAGGGACAGGGCTGAGGTGGGCCGGCGGCCAGACCTCTGGGCCCTTCCTCGCTGCCCCACATGGACTTTCCCTCATGCTTGTTTAAACACCTCTGTTGTCTGTCCCCTTTCTTCCCCCCTGCCCGCTCTATGATGGGAAGCATGCATGTGTGAATGTACATTTGTGTGAGTGCACAGTACATGCCTATGTGCATGTGTATGGGTGCATGCATGTGTGTGCACGTGCGTGTGCCATGATGTGCACAGGTGTGTGTGTGTTGAGAGGTGAGGTTGTGGGCATGCCCACCCAGTGTCAGTTATGCACCTTGGCACCTCTTCTGCCGGGACAGAGGGCCTTGTCCCTCCACGCACCTCCTGGGCAGTAAGTGGGGCTGTGGTGCGTGTCTGTGGTGTGTGTCTGCGGTGTGGCAATGGCAGGGCACATACCGCTCTCTCCAAGCCCACGTGTATGAGAACTGGCTTGCTCACCCAAAAAGGTACCTGTACATGTATGTATTCATACATGAGCAAGGGCTTGAGAGGCATACACACATATGTGAATAGATGCGCACATACTGCACACAAAGGCCTATGCCCACCCTACACGCACACACATGGTAGTGCACACATGTGCACACATATGCTGTTAGTATGGTCCCACATGTATGTGCCACATAATTCTGCACACACAAATGCACTGCCAGTACATGTGGGCTCGTAGGCACCCACCCTCTACATATAAATGAGCTTGCGTACACATGTGTTTGTGGTGCTTGTGAGCAGGTCAGCTATTGTGGTGGGTCTTTCCTGAGGCGGTCCCTGCTCCTGCCTGTCAGAGCCCCTGCCCATCCCACCGCAGCCCCTCAAACGGCTGCTGCACTGCCCAGTCCCGGAGGGCAGCCCCGTCCCAGCCCCCGGGAAGCGATGAGTCCTCATTCTGGGAATTCTGTGCACCCGCTCGGGGGCCTCCCCTGTGCTGCTCCTGGAGGCCAGAGGGGCCTTACCTGCCTCCTGTGGGCGGGGCAGGGTGACACCTCCGTCTGCCTGGGCTCAGGCCCAGGCCAGTCCTCCCAGAGCACCGACTACGCCTATGTGTGAGTGTGAACAGATGTGTGTGTACAGGAAGGGAAATGTGTGAGCATGTGAGTGAAAACATGCGAGTGTGTGCAAACATGTCAGGCGTACCCCTGTGCAGATGTACATGCGTGAGCAACATGCAAGATTATGCATATGACTGAGTGTGCATATGTGTGCATAAGCAGACTGTGAGTATAAATGAGTGTGAGTCTGTGTAAACAGACATGTGTAGTGTGCACATGACTGCATGTGCCTGTGTGTGCATAAGCAGGCTGTTAGTATACATATGAGTGTGCGAACCTGTCTGTGTACACATAAGCAGACATGTGTGTGCATGTAGTGTGAGGTGTGTGTGTGTGTGTGTGTGTGTGTGTGTGTCTGTTAGCAATTTGTGTGCGGGGAGAGAAGAGCCTGCCTGCTGGGCCTCCCGCACTGCAGCTGTGGTGCTCCCAGTCCTCCTGCCCTGAGCACCCTCTCCTTCCTTCCTGTGGGAAGAGGAAGTGCTCCCCCAGGGAGGGCGAGGGCCACTGGCCACAGCCCCAGTGTTGTCAAAGCGGGCGCTCCTGGTGCTGGGCCGCTGGCCGTCGCCCTGCGCACATGCGCGCCCACCAGGCACGGCGGCCGTGCTCCCTGACCGGGGAGCGTAGACGGGTGGCGCCTGCTGCGTTGGTGCGAGTCGCTTCCTGTGAGAGGTGGCTTCAGCGGCTGCTCCTGTCGGCAAGCCCAGCCGGCCCTCACGTGCTCACGACGCGTTTGCTGGTGTCTCTTCTCTTGTTTACTCGCCAGGATAGATATGATTGTGGGCCCCCCACCCCCTTCAACTCCCCGGCACAAGAAGTACCCCACCAAAGGACCCACGGCCCCTCCGAGAGAGTCACCCCAGTACTCGCCTAGGTCAGGACGCCAGCCCTCTCCTGCCTGTGTCTGTGGAATGGCCAGCCCCCTTCGCTCCAGGCCACATGACGGCAGGCCGCACTGCCCTCCCGAGGGTGGAGGGGCGTTTCTCTGCCGCTGGCCGCCACGCCAGGGGCGGGCGACCCTCTTGGGAGCAGAGGAGCACAGAGCCGGGTGGGCTGTGTCGGGCTTTCCTCTCGGCAGGGCCCCATGTGACGTCCTCCTGGGGCAGGGCTTCCTGGGCAGAGGCAGAGGCCAGCATCGGGGGGCCCAGATGTGCAGGGAGGACCTCCAGGACTCGGGGACCATGGTGTCCTTGCCACCCAGCGCCCAGCACCCGCACGCCTGCGGGGCTGACCCGTGAGGGTCTGAGCAGATCCTGTCACTTCTCTCGCCTTGAGCCTGTGGACCAGCACGGGTCCGCGTCACGGACGGCGTTCCGAGGGGCAGAGTGGACGGGAGTTAGCACATGAGCTCAGGAGCCAGTCCGCACGTTGGGGCCCGCCGTCAGCGGATGCTGTGCCCTGTCCGCCCTCTCCGGCAGGTGTGGTCAGTCCCAGAGGAGAGGGTGAGGAGAGGTGCCCCCGGCAGTGCTGGCAGCTTGGGAGCAGAGGGGCCCGGCGCACCTGGGGGCAAGGCCAGCATGTCAGACGTCTCCGCCTGGCATTCTCTCTCAGGAGAGCGGGCCTGACCCAGGGCAGCCCCAGACAATATTTTCTGGGTCCCCTGCTCTACCATGGCCCCCAGCCCCAAGGATGGGGTACCTGAGACCCAAGCCATCCTGCAGGGGCGGAGCTGGAGGCTGAGAGCCAAGAGCTGGGCAAGCCCTGCTGCCTTCAGAGCCCCAGGCTCCAGGCCGCAGCCGGCACTCAGCACCAGAGGCGGCAGGAGGACAGGGCTGGCACAGCGGGGTTAAGGGGCTAAGCCACCGCCTCAGCCTGAGGCCCAGGGCAGGTGCACAGGCTCCTCGAGGGCCGCTCCCAGGGGACCAGCCAGGCGGGCGGTCATCATGTGGCAGGGGTGAAGGCGCTGAGCCCGGCCTGGCCTGTATGCACATGTGGCAACACCGTGAGCCCCTTCTCCATGTCCATTCCCACGGGCGTGTGCTTGGAGCCCAGCGTCCCTGCCGTCCCTCCCGCCCTGCTGGCCCTTTGGGTGCATGAGTCCAGCATGAAGCCTGTGAGAGCATGGGGAGGCTGCTCCATGGCTGACGCAAGCCTGAACCCCTCTTCTGCTTCCTGCAACAGAAAGAAACCACCCCAATGCCCCGCCTGAGGCTGACAGGGTGGTCCTGTGGTCAGGAAGGAAACCCAGCTGTGACCCCAGCCAGCTCACAAGTTCCTGGCACCCCAAACTTGAGAAGTGAGCTTTGTGCTGGGGGCTCCAGGCCTGAGATGAGGCAGGGGCTGTGGGCCTCGGCCTGGGGCCTGTCCAGCTTGTCTGCATCCTGGCTCAAGCACCGTTTGCTGGGCAGTTTCACAGCCGCTGCCCCAGGGCTTGCAGACAGCCAGGCCCTTGATGCCAGTCCACGCACTCACTCCCTAAGGCCCCTCCGAGCCCTTCCTGCACAGCGTGGGCAACAAGCCCTCCTCGGCATTCATGACTGAGGCCTGGTTTGAGAGAAGCTCAGCTGTGTTCTGCATCCTGCACATGTGCGTGTGCGCGCGCTCACACACACACACACACACACACACACACACACACGTTCTCACCTGTACACAGGCATGTATGATATACATGTGTTCATACAGTGGACACAATGCATGCACACACACATGCACAATATACCCCAAACACATGCACACATAGACACACAGTGTACCCGATGCATGCGCATACATGCACATGTGCAAACACACAGACTCCCTCTCTGGTTGTGTGTGGGCAGTTTCCGTGCTGGTCTGTGTCCCCGCTCCCTGTCCTGGTGCATGGAGCCCCAGCTCCCTGTCCCCGCCCTGCTTTGTTGTCCCCCTGCAGACGTTTGACTGCCCGCACCGGACTGGCTGGGCAGAGGGCTGAGGCACATTGTGCAGGATGGAAGCTCAGGAGGGGGCAGAGCTTCGGGGTGAATGGCCGCAGGGCCTTCCTGGGCCTCCTCACTGATGTGCCTGACACTGGGAGGGGTGGACAGGGAGCAGCCCTGGGAGTCCAGAACCAGGCGGGAATAGGTGCCCGGCACCCCTCTGTCCTGGCACCGCTGCCCAGTCAGCTCTGGGTGCGGCCTGGAGCCTGCATCTGGAGGCTGTGGCCTAGCCAGGAAGACGGCCATGGCCACCATTCCCACTCAAACCTGTGCCGTGGGCGGGGTCTCTTCCCGGCAGAGTGGACCAGATCGTGGGGCGGGGCCCGGCGATGACCGACAAGGACCGGACCAAGGGCCCGGCGGAAGCAGAGCTGACGGAGGACCCCAGCATGATGGGCCGGCTGGGCAAGGTGGAGAAGCAGGTGGGCGAAGCCGCGAGAGCCACCGTGGAGTTAGCCCAGAGCTAGGGACGGACGCTGCAGGAGGGTCCCCGAGCTTCCAGGGCCTGGGCCCATCACGGCTCAGGCGCTCATGCCCCCTGAGGCCTCCCCAGGCTGGGGCACGTTCTCTCCTTTGGCCAAGGCCCTCGGGACCAGGAGCACCATTTGCGCCCTCCTTGCCTGGGTGGGGGCCTGTGGGTGGCCTCTGTCACCTGGCCCTCACCCCAGAGCCCTCTCCTGGACACATAAGGACTTCCACTGGGCTCTGCTCGGGGGGGGGGGGGGGCGGGCATGTGCCCTGTGGGGGCCACGGTGGCAGCCAGGTCAGCAGGAGCACCCAGGCAGCACTCCGAAGCCTGAGGCCACACAGCAGTGGGCTCCGTGGCCGAGCTGGTGGTGGGTCTGCCTCCCTCTGCCTCTGCACTCTGCAGGGAGCAGCCCGTGCGCGCGCGCCCCCCCCCCCCTTCAGGGAAAAGCTGGGCCTCTTTGCCTTAGGGAGCAGCCTGCCCAGCAGCCCCTCCTGCAGGTCCTGTCCATGGAGAAGAAGCTGGACTTCCTGGTCAGCATCTACACGCAGCGCATGGGGATCCCGCCCTCGGAGACCGAGGCGTACTTCGGGGCCAAGGAGCCCGAGCCCGCACCGCCCTACCACAGCCCCGAGGACAGCCGCGACCAGGGGGACCGCAGCGGCTGCATCGTCAAGCTCATCCGCTCCACCAGCTCCACCGGCCACAAGAATTTCGCGGCGCCCCCGGCCGCGCCCTCCGCCCAGTGCCCGCCCTCCACTTCGTGGCAGCCTCAGGGCCATCCACGCCAGGGCCACGGTGCCTCGCCCGTGGGGGCCCACGGCCCGCTGGTGCGCATCCCGCCGCCGCCCTCCCACGAGCGCTCGCTGTCCGCCCACAACGGCGGCCGGGCGGGCGCCGAGGGCCTGCGGCACGAGGGCGCGCTGCGCGACAGCGACACGTCCATCTCCATCCCGTCCGTGGACCACGAGGAGCTGGAGCGCTCCTTCAGCGGCTTCAGCATCTCCCAGTCCAAGGAGAACCTGGACGCACTCAACAGCTGCTACGCGGCCGCGGCGCCCTGCGCCAAGGTCAGGCCCTACATCGCGGAGGGCGAGTCGGACACGGACTCGGACCTCTGCACCCCCTGCGGGCCGCCGCCCCGCTCCGCCACGGGCGAGGGCCCCTTCGGGGAGGTGGGCTGGGCCGGGCCCCGGAAATGAGGCCCGTCGCTTCTCCCTGACTCCTGGCCTGGAGGGGGCGAGGCGGACCCTCCGGTGCCCATGCCTGAAGCGGCGGCGGCAGTGAGGCTCCCGTCTTCACGGTGGAGGTTAACGGAAGTCCTTTCCCAACAGTGGCACTCAGGCCGCATGCCCGCTCTGCAGACCCCGGCCCACGTGTGCGAGGGCGGGTGTCGGCAGAGGACGGCCCGGGTACAGGCTGGAGGGGTGGAGTCAGGGAGCGGGCCAGAGTGAGGGTGCCCGGGCGGGACAGGCCTGTGCCCTGGAGGTGTGTCCCGGTGCGCTGCCGGGAGGACGCCCCTAGCCTCCCAGTGCCACCCGCTGCGGTCTGAGTGCCCGAGAGGAGGGGCCCGGCCTCAGGACACACGGGAGCATGGGGACCGCAGGCCCCGTCTCGGCTCTGCTCCACAGGCTTCTGGCAGAGGGTCCTGGGGGCTCTCCCGCCCACGGGAGAACTGGGGGCCGGGCACCCCTTGTCCTCTGGGCTCTGCCCTGTCCGGTGCCGGTCAGCAGGCTCCGGCCAGCACGTTCACGGAGACCCACGAGTGGGCAGTGGCGCTGGCAGGGGAGGCGCCACACTGGGGCTGCTGGGTGTGGTGAGCAGACTTCCCTGCCCTTCGCTGCTCCGCCAGTCCCCAGGGCGCCTGGCCCGGCCTGGAAGAGGGTGTCCTGTCGGGGCTGTGCACGTCCTCACAGCCACGAGACAGCGGCTGTGCTGTGGGCTGGCTCTCTGTCCCGCTGGAGCCGCCCGCCCCGCCCGCCGGGCTCCACAGCCGGTCCCCTGGCTGTGGCCTGCTGGTGTCACCGTCCCCACCCTGCGCCCCCACACTCTTTTGTGCACCCGGCCCGAGAAGCAGCAGCTGTGAGCCGGGAGTGGGGCCTCAGCAGGCAGTGTGGGGCACCTGGCATTTGGGGTGATGGGCAGCAAGCCTGGCACCTGGCACCCTCTGAGGCAGTGACCCTATGGGTGCAGGGCTGAGCCCAGCTAAGGCCACGAGGTAGGAGATGAGCTGTCTCCTCACCCGTGTGAGCACACACTGGCTGGGGGTCTCTGAGGCCGCAGCAGGTGGGGCTCAGGCCATGGCTCTGGGGTCCGGCCTCCTCGGCCCCAGGCCCAGTCTGAGCAGCACATGTGCCCTCAGCGCCCGCCCACTGTGCGGGGCCCACTTCCCAGAAGCCTTGTGCACTGCCTTGGGCGTGCGAGTGACAAGACAGGAGTGTGGCTGAGGGCAGACGGTCCGGGGACAAGCACACACTCCACGCCACAGGCACATGCCTGTGCTCATCACATGCTCACACGTGGGCACACAAACCACACACACACAAATTGCACAATCTCACCCATGTACACATGCATGATACACCTCACACAGTGCACACGTGCACACACGCACACAGTCACACACACACATGCCCACACGCGCACATCACATTCTGCCTGGGCTGCCCTTGGCCTCTTGGCTGCCCTCAGGCATGAGGACTCGGGGACTCGGGGAGCCACAGTGGCCTGGATCGGGGAGCGTGGTGCTCTGCCACCCGGGCCCCTGGGAGAAGTGGCAGAAGGTGCCCTGGAGCCACGCAGCCCCATGCTGTCCTCCCACAGAGTGGGTGGGTGGGCCAGGAGGGCCGGCATCTGAGGGTTGTCTGGATGTGATGCTGAGGCTCTGGCCAGCTCCCTGGGCCCCTTGGCCAGGGGCCTGGCCTCATCACCACCAACCAGGATGCTCCTCTCCTTTACTGGCCCAGCATCTCCCTCCTTGGTCCCTGCGGAATCATGAGCCACAGCCTCACACCAGCCACCTGGGCGGACGGAGGGACCGGGGCTCAGGGGCGCCCTGTCCCGACCAGAGACCACAGCTACCCGCTTAGCAACACTGCCCGTCCGCTCCAGGTCCCCGTGCTGCGAGGGCTGCTCCCGAGGGCTCAGCGGCCTCCAGTCACCACGGCTGAGCCCAGGGCGTCTGCAGTGTGTCACTTGTGAGCCCGCCTCTCCTCCGCTAGGCTGTCCCCTCCCTGGCTGTGGATTTGAGATGTGAACACGGGAGAGGGTCATCCTCTTTGTTGCCCCCACATTCTGGGGCCACCATATATCAGGTCCCCATCCGCTGTTCTTGGAAAGAAGCTGGTGCCGAGACATTTATAGATGCTTTCGGAAGCCCAGAGGCGCAGGTCTGGGTGCTCTGGGGCCTCTGGAAACGCTGGTGTTTGTATCTATTCCATGTTCGCCCTGAACTGTAAATAATGTACAGATGACGCTCAGCTGCCCTCTGGGGCGGTGCAGATCTGCCTTGGTGATCCCGCCTTATCACTGACGTGGGCGTGAGGCAGAAGGGCGGGGCCTGGCGGGGCCGCCTGCTCCAGAGCGCGGGAGCCTGTGTGGCTGTCCCTGGGCAGCCTCCGCCTGGACCCCACCGAGGACGAAGCAGAAACAACCGAGGAGGGCTTCCTGCAGGGAGAGGGTGGTGCAATCAGGCCTGCGCTGCTTTCTCCCAGGGGCCCGGGGCCCGGTGCTCGTGGCTGGGGCCCTGGAGCGGGCAGAGCCCCGGGGCGGCTGCCAGCTGGGGTGGGTGGGCGGTAGGAGACAGGGTAAAGAGGAAAAGGAGGCCCTGGGAGGAGAGGGCCCTCTTCACAGCCTTTGAAGCCGTTTGTTGGGCTGGGAGGGGTTGGGTGGTTTTGCTTGGGCACTTGCAAGGGCAACACGCTGACTAGGGCATGAGGACAAGAGGGCAGCCCTGGCCTGGCCTCTGGGCAGCGAGCGCGGCTGACTGGCTGCAGTCCAGCTCTGACTGGGTCTCAAAGTTGTTGCCTTAATGCACGTTGACCAGAGCCGCTGAGGTCGCCCCGTGCCCAGGTGACCTCCAGGCGCTGAAGCCGGACGCGTCCCTCCCCTCACCCCAGCCCATGGTCCGCAGACCCGCTCCACGGAGGGCACGGAGCAGGCGTCTCACCGCCTCACGCCCGCTGGCCCGAGGGGCCGCCTGCCTGGATTCGCTCCACCCACCGCGCCCATCGGCTGGGCCGCCCGCAGCCCGAGGCGGCTGCAGCTCCCCGCCTGCGCTGTTGCCTTGGCTGCTTGCACTTTGTTCATGCTCCAAAGAATACTTCCGAACGCCTTGGTGTGGCACCGCGGGCTCGCGTGCGCGGCGCACAGGACGGCCTTTGTGCGTGCCGTGTCACCAGCCGCTGTCTCGGCTGCACTGACATTCTCCGAGGAGAGACGCCGGGGGGTCCAGGATCGCTAGGAGCAGCAGGATGGGATGCTCCGGTGAGAATGGGCCCGGCACGGGCTCCCCGGGGACCTTGGTGTGGAATCTGGTGTCAGGGATGCACATGGGAAGTTCTGGAAAGTTCTGTGGCCACAGGGATGAGTCCGGTGCCCAGTGGGCCTGCGCACTGAGTAAAACACAGTGATCCAACCTGCATGGTGCGAGTCTCTTTCCTCTCGCGGTCATCCTCGGGCTGCTGGTGTGGCCCGGACTGCGCTCCTGTGGGAGGGTCTGGCTCTTCAGGGTCAGGGCACTGGGCTCTGGCGGTGCTCTCTGCCACCATCGAGGGCCACAGCGGGTGGCCCACAGAGCAGGCTCCTGCCAGCGGCCTTCTCCTCACCCAAAGCATCAGCCGGTCCTTGGGCGTGGGCTCTGTGCCCTGTGTCCTCGGAGCCACCTCCCGATGCCCTTGGCACCTCCCCAGTCACTCCCCTCACTTCACTGGCTGACCTCCAGCGACCTGCCAGGCCCCAACGGGGTGAGGTGCTGGGGGCGGGGTGACATCCTATCTCCCAGGCGAGGGCCTGGCTGTAAGGGGCTTGTGCTGAGCAGCTATGCTGCCCACCTTCTGGAATGTTCCTCCCACCAGACCCCCCTGGCCTCTGGGGGTCAGCTGAGCAGGCAGAGCAGGTCAGCAGGGCTCCGTGGTCCAGTGGACTCATGTCTGGCCCCACACAGATGCCTGGCCCTACTGTGGGGTGGGGTGTGAGGGCGGGCCTGGCAGGTCCAGATGACCAACCAGAGGTTTATCCTGCAAGCCTTGCCTTTTGGCAAACGAGGTTTCCGGGGCGCGGCTGGCGGACACCTCTGGGTTCAGTGCCAATGACGGAGGACTGCCCTGTCCGCCAGGCGAGCTCCATCGGGCTGGCTCTTCAGATCTGTGGCGGTGCTGCCGGCCAGCGGGGCCACTGCGCTCACCTGTCCACCCACGGCACTGGCGGCAGCCCTCAGCGGCCCTGCCCATCCCTGCCGGCGGCCAGGACCAGGAGCCGGAGCTGGGCCCCTCACTGGGGGTGCGTGGCCAGCACCGCCCCCGCCCTCTGTTCTCTGCAGCTCGAGGGGCCAGTGTAAACCCGGACCCCGTGTGCTCGGGGTCCCTCGCTGCCCTCGTGCGGGGGCTGCAGTGGGAGGAAGGCGCCCGCGGGAGAGACGTTTTGCTATCTCGCCTCGGCGGGGTGACTGCTTGCCTTAGAAAGCTCTGCTTTTCCAGGAACGGTCACAGCATGAGGACGGGCTGTGAAGAACAGAAACTTTAAAGAACCGAGGGTCCAACAGAAGGGACTCTTATTGTCCTTCGCAGTGACCGTCCAGAGGGAGGCTGTCTCGGACTAGTGTGGTGGCCCCTATGGTGCCAGAGGCCCGGTCGCTCCGTCCTGTTTCTCTGTTCTACATGGTTTCTTCCTCAGGATCACCACATGGGCCAGTGTGGCTGCTGGAGGCAAGCCATCACACCTGCTAGCAGAAGGAGTGTGGGGGAGAAGCACCCTCCCCCCACACACACACTAGCACACACACACTAGCACACACACACACACACACACACACACACACTAGCACACACCCCAGTCACGTTCTGTAGGAACGGTTGGGAAATGGGACTTTAACTGGGCGCCCATGCTTGACTAACGCAGTGGTTTGTCTCTAAGGAAACGGAGGACAGGCTGCTGGGGACCAGCCCGGCCGAGGCTCTGCTCCCAGCAAGACCAACAGGCCCTGGGTGACACTGGCCACGGATGACAGAATAAGCAGAGCAGGGGCAGGGCAGGTATTTGAGGGTCTGTGTAGTCCTGTGGTCCCCGCTGCTCCCCAACAATGCCCAGAGATTTCGCTGCCCTCTCCGTGCCCGGCCCATGCAGCCCCATGCCCACGGCCTGCACCTCATTCTCTGCTCTGTGCATGTAACCCCAATCCCATGAGGGTACCACCAATCACCCCACTATGCAGGGGGAGAAACCATGCTCAGAGAGCTCAGGTGCCCCCAGTTTGAGGTAAGAGAGGGGCAGATGTGGCCCCAGAGCCTTCCTGGGATGTGGCTGGAGCACACTCAGAGCTGGGGTCCCCTGGACACAGCTGCTTGGTCTCT